CATGAACCAAAAATACAAGATCACGTAAGAACGCGACGTTGTATTTGTAACTGGTTTTGAGAAAAAAGTTTGCGAAAGCGGGTTCGTAAGACGNTTGGAATGAACCACAATTTTTCATGCTTATTTACCACTAAGAAAACTTTGTGCGTCCGAACACTCTCAACAGCAACTGATTTGACATGAACCAAAAATACAAGATCACGTAAGAACGCGACGTTGTATTTGTAACTGGTTTTGAGAAAAAAGTTTGCGAAAGCGGGTTCGTAAGACGCACGAAGGCGATGATAGTATACATGTGTCGACGTCGCAGCAAGCAGCATTTTGAAGCCCAATTACATGTGTTTGGAAAATCAAAAAATGCCCGCCTCTGCTATACAGGCATGTTATACAAATCGTACGATTTCAAATCGGCTGGCAGTTTCCATTTGAAACATTTAATACTTTGATTACAAGTATAAAATAATACTTTGCAAATCGTACCGATTTGACATGCCTTATAATTTCTCTTGATATTAGTGCTGGCATTGATGGTTGACTTGGCATTGTTGGTTGANCAGCAAGCAGCATTTTGAAGCCCAATTACATGTGTTTGGAAAATCAAAAAATGCCCTACTCTGCTATACATTTGAAACATTTAATACTTTGATTACAAGTATAAAATAATACTTTGCAAATCGTACCGATTTGACATGCCTTATAATTTCTCTTGATATTAGTGCTGGCATTGATGGTTGACTTGGCATTGTTGGTTGACTTCTGAGCTTGTTGTTTTTGGTTGTTGTTAGCAGTTGGGTTTTGCTTAGGGAGCACAGCCGTCGAAGATTTGCTGGCGGGATGTGGGAGAATCCTCGACCCAGAAGGAACGGATAAGCCCGAATCTGATGATACTACAGCCGTGGTACATGGCAACTGCTGCTGATGCAGACTTACGACGCAAAAAGTTACAACCGTCACAGCGATGCTTCACGTTGTTTGATTTCATGTATTCAAACGCGGTAATTTTGGCGCATGAAGCATGGAAGTAGGCGCCACAATCCACACACGCGACTTTAGCAACTTCTGCGCGATCAACCTTGTCGTTACAAAGTGGGCAAAATATTAATAAAAGCTTTTTAAGATGTAATTTTAAGTGAACGCACCCCACGACACAGTGGAAACACGTGCACTCGCAACGAAGTCACTTTTGCAAATTCTGACATTCGCCACGCAATGGGGCCTAAACGTACACAACATCAAAAAGTAACACATGCAATGTTTAATCAGCCAAATCTGGCAGAATGAAGAAAAGTAACTAGATGTTGCAGTTGTTAGGCTCGACTGCTATTCTTTTGCAGATTTCTGGCGATGTATTTCTACTTCGTTGAGATAGTTATCAAAATAGAGCAGTCATCGTCGTAGGAAGCCATGGCAGCTGTCCTTAATCATTATTGCATACTTATTCTTTCGATGGTTTTCCTCTATAGCATACTGGCTGCGGCTTGTGACACGCGCATGCAGGATATGTCGCTTCCGCTTAAGTGATTCTATTTTTATGACCTCGTGGAAGGACCTTTCGACTTTGGGAGCGTCTTCGGTGGGTGGAAGGCAGGAATGTGGCTCGAAAATTCTATCAGAAAATAAGACAGTAATCAAATGGTTTCAAGACCGGGGCTAGTTCCTGCTAAACGAAGATCGGTATTTTGTATCAGACGTCCAGAGTAAACTAGAGAAATGGTGAAAACACGCTCGTTTTTTGAAGAACACCCCAGATCAATGTATAGGTTGTTGAACGGATCTCCACAGTATGCCATATCCTAGAAAGGACTGTCGCCAAAAAAATTCACACTCACCACCTTTTCCTCGATTTTAAAGCTGCTTTTGAAAGCACGAAGAGAACCTGCGTCTACGATGCTATGTCTAAATTGGGGATCCGTGTAAAAGAATAAGGCTATGCAGACTGAGGTTGAGCACAACATTTGGAAAGACCTCTTTGGCCATACGAGACTCAATAGGATTTCAGGAAAAATCGCGGATCATGTACAGAAAGAAAAACAACTGGCAGAAACCCACAAGCGAACAAACCCAAATAAAATATTTTTGTAACATGTATTACATAGTTTCACAGAAAAGTTTTCACGCATAAATAAACGTTTTCTTAATTATACTGTGCTAAAATAGAGAATAATCATGGTTACTGGATTGGTTCTGAAATTTAACTTTTAAATAATAAAAAAAACAAATACATATGTAGGTATTATTTAAACAGCCAACGGCGACGCTCAGCATTTTCCTTGTCTGCTTCAATTTTCCAATGACTTGGATCCATCAGATAATCTCTAAATTTAAACATAAAACATTGAGTGTTTTTTTGCTCAAAAATATTTTATGCTTTTGGCAAACTCACCTCTTGTGCGCCAGTTCAGACAAAAGTATTGCCTTAAGGTCTGCGATTTTTCCCCCTGTTCCGCCATATTCTTCCGGCAGTATGCTACGTGGTACATGTTCGTAAAGGCTGTCCAAGCTGACGGTATGAAATCGTATCTTTGAAAAGATATGAGGTACAGATTTTGCTCATTTAAACTTTATATGAACATGTAATTATTTTGACTCACCAGTTTGAAGACTTCACTACTTATAAAAGGCTTCATAATGCTAACCACCTTATCCAGATATGGGGGGCAGTTAATGATATGGATTGCCTTTAAATGAACGGGCAATGCCTCCTGCAGGAAAGCCATGTATATGCGCAGTGTACTGAAAGTCATCCTACTGAGGTGCTTCAGTGTGTAGCCATTCATATCGAAAATTTGCACATCACCATTAGCAAATGTTTCTACATTCTCCTCGTCGGAAGCTAAGCCATCATATGTGTTAAAACGACAATCGGAGACCATGAAAAATGCTTTGGTATCGGAGGTATGATTCACCTTGCGAAAATCCAATTTAAACAGTCTAAAATTTTTTAAAAACACGCGTAAAGTAACTCAACTAACCTTCGCTGGATCAAAATCTACTAAACGATAACAGCTCACTTTGTAACCTTCTGGTGTAAGACCCGGCAGTGGTATCAGATCCCTGACAAATTTCAAATTAATTGAAATGTCTATTTGATTGCAAGTATACTCACGCATAATCGAATGTTTGTTTACTATCCGCATCGGTTGGGTCACGTTCGAGAAAGATGTGCGAATGCTTATTGCGCATACTGTAATTAATTTTTATGAGCTTCTTGGCGCCTTTTATGTCACCGTACATACATCGGTAGAAGCGCTTCAATAAAATGCGGTCTGGAAATAGTTAAAGCAGAGTGAGAATTTAAACATACATAAACTATCATATTTAACAAAAAAATATACTTAAATATAAGTAGCGCGCATCCTATACTCAAAAGTTTTGAGTGTATCTTATCTGAGCCCTACCTAACAGGGATATAGATAAGAGGTTCTTTCCCGTACGCAACGCGGGATCCCGCGGGTGCCCAAAACAGCCCAGAAATCATTCCCGTACTCAACAAAATGGGTAATAGAGAGCGAAAATTGGAACGTAGCTTTTCATAAGTATTGTCTTTTTCTTCCTGCCGGAAACAGCTCGGACTTTTTCTCCGGTTAAAAATGGATGAAGTGTCAAAGTGCATATCAGCTGTGTTAATATGTTGCCTACATTTACTTGGTGCTTTTAAGGAATAGTGAATGGCATGTTGATGTATTTCTAATTTGTATATACTTAAAATCAAATTTGTGAAATAAAAATTCAATTTCCTTGAATGTGAAATAACACAAATTTGCTTTATTTCATTTCTCGTTGAGCAATATGACCAACTTTTAAACTTAACAATTAAGTAATAAAGCAAAATAGTGCACATAGGTAGTCCAGTTACATTTGACAAAAAGTAGTATATGAACAAGTTAAGTGGAGGGATTTTTAGAAAATTTAGAAGTCTGAGAGTAGGTAAAAGTTTACATATTTTTACATCACTATTTCACACCTCATGTTCGCCTAGTCTTCGTAAACGAAATACACATTTCGGATATGGTGAAGAAAGTGATCAAGACGAATTTATGTATACAAGGTGGTGGTACTCGCGAATTTAGGTTTTCGCCGCGGTACTTCATAACCTCAAAATGATGTGTTTGTTGTAATATGAAGTCCCCTTGTTTGCAACAAACACAAAACATTTTCAACGATTTTTTTTTTTCAATTGGAGAAAATGAGCAACACCTTCGATGAAAAAAAATCCCAAAAATCAATGGTACTTGAAATTGGGCTACAAAACTGCATACTCAAAATGTTTCTAAAAATTCTAATTAAAAAGCTCGAAATTTTTACAAAGTTTGTTGATTTCTTTTTTAATTTTGCACAAAGATTGAAACTTGGATTTGTATGTTTTCAGTTAAAAATATGCTATACCTTTAAAAAAAAATAATTAAAAATAAGAAATTTTAAAATAAATGGTGAAATCTTGCCAATATGTGAGTGTCGTAAAGTTATGATAAGAACTATTCACATTCACATTCAACTGTGTAACCAGAAATTTGAAGGGGGATAACAGCAAAATGCGTAGAAAAAGCGTTTGCCGCTGTGACGGCGAATATGCTTTTCCGTTGGTTAACAAACTTCTCCGCATTCTGACTACACTTCTAGCTACTTCAGAAAGAAGTTACCCTTCGCCGGTTAAAAACATGGTTCCATAGTACCATGAATGAAAAAAGCACTTTTACACGTACACTTAGGGCCAGTTTTTCAGTGACTTAGTTTAAACGCCCGAGCCGGCTGCTTTAAACTAAGATTAGGCAATCAAATGTCAGTCAGCTGTTAATTTTAAATTCAGTTTACGTAATCTAAGTTTAAACTGCCACTGAAACTGGCCCTTAGATATTGAAATTGACACTGATAATACAAAGATTCCCAAATGGAAAACGCAAAATTGAGTTTGCAATTTAAATTAATATAATCAAAGTTTCGAATAAGTTGTTAAGTTACTTAATTACATTCCTCATTTGACAAACATTGTAAGCAAAAAATAAGTATTTATATAATGTACACAAAGATATGTATACTGCTTTAATAAACCCAGAGCATAACTTTTTATCTTGTGCCTTTTTACAAAAAAGTATAATTAGTGGAATTCGCGCTTCTGTGTATTTGCTGTATTATTCGTAAGTGTAACTGGACGAGCGTGTGGTTGTTGTTGCATGTGTATTTGATCTACCGCTAGCAACAACAAATCACACATGTTTCACTCACCCATGTTTCTTACCTACCTAGGACTCCTTTCGGACTCATATATTCTGAACGCTCAGAATATGTTTGCGGGGATATCAAATTTTTTGTTTAATTGTATTTTTGGAATAAACAAAGTCCTTTTTCTTTCTGACAGTAAACTGTTACAAATAATATATATAAGCAATGGGAAATAAGGCAAACATTTTCCAAACTTTGTTGGAAATAAAGCAAAACTCAGATTTTGGTATTATGTAAGCAAATTTTGCGTTATTGTCGTTTGTGTCGCTGTGCCCAAGTTGAAGTCAGAAGTTCTTTTTCTTTCTGACAGTAAACTGTTACAAATAATATATATAAGCAATGGGAAATAAGGCAAAAATTTTCCAAACTTTGTTAGAAATAAAGCAAAACTCAGATTTTGGTATTATTTAAGCAAATTTTGCGTTATTGTCGTTTGTGTCGCTGTGCCCATGTTGAAGTCAGAAGTTTATGAACTTTTTCCTGTAAACGAAGTTCTATCTAAAGACGCCGTTACAGTCCTCCCGTTTTTTTCTACGGAAGTATTCCAAAGGGCTGCAAGCAAGCTCTTAAATAATAAATCGGTAGGTTCAGAAGGTGTACCTGCCGAAGTGTTAAAAATGAAAGCCTCAAAGCGCCTGGAACCATTAATTACAAGTATAAAACGTTCCTCATCGATGCCTCACCGGAGGACTATGTCCTTACACTTGCAAAAAGTAGCAGCTCGTATAAATCGATAAAGGTAAAGTCAATCCGACTTCATCATCCCCTTAATACACACAACTATAAAGCTCCTGCAATCTCATCTCGCAACAGCCATCTAAGCAATTGGGAGAAAACATACGAAACAACAGAAAACACAGTGCTCAATCCTCGGTTATGATCTAATGACGGCATGCCTCGTGGGATATAGCCGCCAACATGGTGTGCAACACAGAAGAAAGCTAAACAAGACCAGCCCTTGACTAAAATTCTCCGCACAAATATAGCACGAGAAAGGCTAACATTGGAGGTACGCAATGCAAATGAAATCTGCTGATATCAACCACGCTCTGTGTACTACTTTATAGAGCAGTAATATGATTTCACACTTTTTAGATAAGACTTCGAAGCAAATAATATGCTTAGAGCAGCACACGGAAGCTCTCCGAGTCGCCTCTGCCTGGACTCCTACTAGCAATAAGCCGCATGACACCGATAGAACAGGTTGATGGCTAGATTAATATATACCAACATTGGAATTTTAGGTCAACGGAAAGTTGGGCGAAATACACTACGCAGAATTCGTCTGGCCACAAGTTCTTCAAAAAATATTTTAACGAATTGGGCAAAGCAGCGTATCTCGAATTGTACAGGAGAGCGTCATTTCTATTTTGCAAAATTTAAAATTTTTGTTTACTACGTACATTCCCATTTCAGAAATATTCTAGACGGTACTTAAGGAGGTTAAGCACAATATGTATACCAAATTTGGTCGAGATCGGTCAAGTAATTTTTGAGATACGCATATATCATATAAATGGGCGGTGCCACCCCCATTTGCCAAAAATTTCTGGAAAACCCACATTTTTGGTAAAGAGCGATTGTATATCGATGGGTGAGTGGAAGATCGACCTCTCTCGGCAGCCAGTTCGAAAACGCCCTATCTCGGAAAAATTTTCAACATCGTTCTAGCTCAGAAAACTTCTCAAGAACGCCCTACTTCAGAATTTGATTGAAAAACACCCTACCTCAAATTTCGTTGAATAACGCCCTATCTCAGCTGCCGATTTGAAAACGCTCTATCTCAGCTTATTTTCAATGTATTTTCGTTTGAGATAGGGCATTTTTGAACCGAATTCTGAGATAGGGCGTTCTTCAACAAAATTCTGAGATAGTGTTTTTCAATAAAATTCTGAAATAGGTTGTTTTTTAATAAAATTCTGAAGTAGGGCGTTCTTGAAAAGTTTTCTGAGATAGGGCGTTTTCCAACCTGCTGCCGAGATAGGTCGATCCTGCACTCAGCCATCGATATATCAATTTTGAATAAATATTCCTTAATAAATAGNAAATATTTTAACGAATTGGGCAAAGCAGCGTATCTCGAATTGTACAGGAGAGCGTCATTTCTATTTTGCAAAATTTAAAATTTTTGTTTACTACGTACATTCCCATTTCAGAAATATTCTAGACGGTACTTAAGAAGGTTAAGCACAATATGTATACCAAATTTGGTCGAGATCGGTCAAGTAATTTTTGAGATACGCATATATCATATAAATGGGCGGTGCCACCCCCATTTGCCAAAAATTTCTGGAGAACCCACATTTTTGGTAAAGAGCGATTGTATATCGATGGGTGAGTGGAAGATCGACCTCTCTCGGCAGCCAGTTCGAAAACGCCCTATCTCGGAAAAATTTTCAACATCGTTCTAGCTCAGAAAACTTCTCAAGAACGCCCTACTTCAGAATTTGATTGAAAAACACCCTACCTCAAATTTCGTTGAATAACGCCCTATCTCAGCTGCCGATTTGAAAACGCTCTATCTCAGCTTATTTTCAATGTATTTTCGTTTGAGATAGGGCATTTTTGAACCGAATTCTGAGATAGGGCGTTCTTCAACAAAATTCTGAGATAGTGTTTTTCAATAAAATTCTGAAATAGGTTGTTTTTTAATAAAATTCTGAAGTAGGGCGTTCTTGAAAAGTTTTCTGAGATAGGGCGTTTTCCAACCTGCTGCCGAGATAGGTCGATCCTGCACTCAGCCATCGATATATCAATTTTGAATAAATATTCCTTAATAAAGACTCCTTAGCCACACTGCACAAAATATCTGAAATTCCGTTTTTATGAAAAGTANTAGGTCGATCCTGCACTCAGCCATCGATATATCAATTTTGAATAAATATTGATGGACTCCTTAGCCACACTGCACAAAATATCTGAAATTCCGTTTTTATGAAAAGTAGCCTAAATTCGACAATTTTTATGCGATTGCAATAAATGAGGTATCAGTTTATTTAAAAATAAATTAAATTTTAGATAGTACTACATGTTTTGAAATTGTGGA